CACCCCACCCCAGGCCGCCTCCTCACCAAGGACGGAATTGGCCAGCTACACCCAGCCAGCCCCTCATGGCTCCGCCCCTACTGGAGGGCCAAGAGTTAACAGCTGCACCTGTTGAGGTATACCTGCAGTCCCCGGCACCTGTACCTACAGCCAATCAGCACCACCGCTGCTGGGAACTTACCTGTCAGCAAAAGCCTGATACCTAAACCTCAACATAAATCAAACACTTCCCTGAGCAGGGAATGTGTGTGTCAAGCAAAAACTAGAGAAAAGTGGTCAGCAGAGCTTCAGTGCAAATCGTTGGAGCCTGGCAGCAGGAAGATGTCGAATGAACTTGAGTGAGTAAACATCAGCGGATGCCTGGTGCTTTCTGAGCACAGAGGGTGGATGGGGTTTCCAAGTGGAGGAAGAGCAGGGAGGCCGGCGCCAGAATTCACACGGCAATTTGTAAGGGTAAATGAATGGGCTGACGATCCTGCTTCAGCGTGTTGAGGCAAGCCCTGGTCTCAAACTAGAGCCGAGTGTTTCCCTGGGAAAATAGTTTTTCTCTCCCTCAGCTAAGCAGTTTCGAGCCAGGCAGAGAAACACAGGACTGAAACTGAAGGTTTTTGGCACCACGTTTTGATACTCTGCAGGAGCCTCGGAAATCAGAGACAACCCCAGCCCCTTAGAGGCTTTCTATCTTCTTGCCAAAAGGAACTTCTTTGAGGTGCTTCTAAGAGCTGACTTAAGCAGAGAATTGGGTTTCTCTAAAGGCACTTGTTTGTTGAATTGGAACAATCCCAAGCAGGAAGGCTGCAGTGTGGTGGTTTACCATGTGCGTTCTCTGTAGGGGGCTTGGTTCAAATCCAGGTTCTGTCCCTCAAAAACTGAGGGACCTTGAACAAGTTGTTCAACTTATCTGAGTTTCATTTTCCTCATCTGGAAAATGGGTACAAGTATGCTCTGTAGGGTTCTTGAGAGTCAAGTGTGCTAAAGGCTGTAAAAGGCTCAGCACAAAGCTAAGGTTGGCAGATGCTTTCAATAAAATGTGGTTCATTTTGTTCAGAGGCAGTTCTAAGGCTGGGGAAGCTGAGGAGTGGTTTTCGATGAGGTCATCTGTGTTGCCTGGAAGGATGCAGGTGCATTCCTGCCCACACCTGGGATTCAGAATCCTCACTGGCTAATGCTGTTCACTGTGGACCGCCACCCCCACCCCGCATGTAGTCCAGGCCTCAAAGAAGGTGCGAGGAGGATAAGATCGGTGTTGTTTTAGCTTGGGTTCAAGGAGCTGGCAGGTGAAGCCAGAACCTCTTAACCTGTGACTCTCCTCTTCTTGCCACCCTTACATGTGAGTGGGCAGAGGTGAGTGAAACAACCTTTTTTTTTTTTCAAGCTACTCGCCAATAGTATTTTAAGAACTTGAAGACAGGCAGAGCATTTGGTGGTCCTGGCCGCTGTCAGGACTGATTCCACGATTACTAGGCAGCTCTTGGGTTCTTCTAGGTTGGCCACCTGTGTTCACAGTGAAATCCCTGTGGTTAACTGGCATGATTTCTTTTGAACAAATTCCCTGGGTTGACAATTGGACTAGAATAAGAGTAGGTACACTGTGCTGACACCTGGGCTCAAGTGCCAGCTCTGCCACTTACTATCTAGGTGACTTTGGGCAAGTCACTTCCCCAGATTCTCCATTTCTTCTCCTATATATAAATTGTGGCCAACAGTGGTATCCACCTATTGGAGTTGTTAGGAAAGCAAACAACTTTAGAATAGTGACTGCTTTCAAGCCTGGTAGTAGTACCACTATTGTTACTTCATACAGAAATAAGCAATCGAGCACTTCTGAATCCTTTTATTTTCTATTTTTCCACACTTGGCACACAAAAAATTTTTTGAGATGTACTGCCATCCCCTGAGGACCTATTCATGTTGCTGCTTAAAGGATCCATGTCCTGAAGCTGGTTACTTTACAGAAAGGTTTTCTACTTTTCTCCTCAATGATTTGGACTTTCTCCTTTCTCGGGGAAAGCCCGTGCCTGCTGAGTAATTGCAGGAAGACCTGAAGCCACCATTTCAGATTACAATAGCAGATTCTGGGGACTCAGCTGGCCCTATTAAGGGGGTAGTGGGTGATGTGCCAAGTGCTTAGCTTTCAAGTTCTCAGTAGTGCTATGGCCTGTGTCTTGCAGGGCATTCTCCTAAAAAGTGCCTAAGCGTACTGGTCCAAGCATTAATCTTGAACCCGGATAGAATGACCAGCTCTTGTCAGCCCAGACACAGTGGGGAAAGTCGGACTTACACCTGACTTCCAATTCTGCCACTTGTCCACTGCTGGATCCGGATGTATCTGTGTGTCCTTCCTGTAAACTATAAACACCTACCTGGCAGGGTGGAACAGTGAGTTTCAATATATGGACCATTGGGCCCAGAGGAGAAGCTCCATAAACGTCATCCTGATCCTCAGTGAGGCCTTAGATGGAGGGCGGCACCTCGAAGGCCTCTTGTGAGGAGCATGAAGGCTGGGCGATGTAGTCAGAACCAGCTTGAGTTGGCTGGTGGGTGGCAAGCGCTCAGGCGTTTCATGTGGTTGGTCCCAGCGCCGGCCTTGGCTAGCAGCCGGGCCTGCTCCCCCCTTATGGTCTCACCATGTCCTATAGCTGTATCCGGCCTCAAGGGATCCTGGAACAGCGGGTCTCGCGCTTGTGCTTTGCCTTTTGCGCCTGCGCACTGCCTGTGTGGGATTTCCTAAGGGGACCGTGCACAGGCCGGCTGGCGTACACTGGATGTTGCGGCAGCTGGTGACCAGCAGGTGCCCTTTCTGTTGTTTCAAAGCTCCCGAGGGCCTACTGTGTGCCTGGCACACCTGTACAGCCCAGCCCTGAACCTAGAGTCAGCCATAGATTACAACTGAGGAAATCAGGGTTCTGGCACATCAAGGGACTTGGCACATAGTAGGTTCATCAGCTGGAGGAGGCGCATCAGGCTCCTCCCCACTGCCTTCCTCAGTGCGCAGTCTGGACCACCACCCTCTTTGGTTGGGAATCTTGTACCCAACCCCAAATCCCTGGAGAGAAGCCGCTGAGGGCAGGAGGGGGTAGGGCAGACGCAGCCAAAGACTGAGGCCCAGCCAGCCACAGTGTCTATCTGATCTCCAGCAGCTCAGGCTCCAGACTGCCTGGAGCGCTGAAAGAGTTAACCAGGAACGCCTCCCCGCTGCGGTTTTGTGGTCGAAACCATGATTGCCAGGAGCAAATTTTTGTCGTGCACAAGGTGTGTTATTAAAAGTCGGAGTTACGCTGCTGGTGAATGGAAAGTTAAAAGCCCTCATTAAGCTTGGGCTGTAAAACAGGCGAACTGGGCCCAGAGAGCACTAGAGGCAGCTCTAACGGCGGCGGCGGGCGACTTGGGGTGCTATGCTTAGAGCTGAGACCGAGTGGCAGGATCAAGCAGGTCATTAGAGGCCCCACACTGAGGAACAGACAGGAAGGGCAGCGGGACTTAAACATAATTTGGATCCTCTGGGCTAAAACAAAAAGAACAAATATCGAGCCCTGATTCCACATCAGATCTTGTGTGAAATGTTGAAAAATACACTGTCTCATTTATCCCTCCCAACAACCCAGAGAGGGATGGCAGTGTAAGCGCAAGTTCAGGGAAGAGGAGATTCTCATAGAGAAGCTGGGATCTTAACTGTGGCTTAACCAGGGGCCAGAACAATGTGCCAAAAGGATATACCACTCTACTTCCCCTGGACCCGGACACTGGCAAAAGACAAGGACCTATGCTATGTGACTGGCTATGTTACAGTGTTCTCAGGGAGGAAGATGAATAAACTCTGCTGCTGCCTTTTGTAGGTTCCACATTTTTGTATACTTGCATTATACAAAATGATGTACTTTAAAAATGGGGGTCATTATTTTAAAGGCGAATTATTGGTTCACCTAGAGCAGTGTTCTCAGAGTGTGGTCCCTGGATCATCACCATCTTCGACATCCTCTGGGAACTTGGAAATGTAAATTTTTCGGCCCCACCCTAGGCCTACTGAATGAGAAACTCTGGGGGTGGGGCTTGAAATTATGTGTTTTAACAAGCCCTCGGGTGATTCTGATGCATGTTCAAGTTTAGAAACCATTGGCCTAGAAGACCCGGCGGGGATTGGGGGCTGGAGGTTCCCAGAGCTGCTGTGGACCTGCTGTGTAGTTGCTGAGTCAGCAGACAGAGCTTCGCTGCAGGCCATGCTTGTGTTTAAAGCCCAGCTCTGCCACCTGTGGATTGGCTGACGTGTCCACTGGCCCTTTAAGTGTCTGTTTCTGCATGTGTAAAATGGTGATAAAAACACCTATCCCACAGAACATATAGGAAAATGAAAAGACACGTGACCTGCTGTATTAAGTAATTTAGTTTCATTCCCTTTACACCGTCTCCTCCCCGCTTCTGGAACTCAGCTCTCCCATTTGTAAAATGCAACAAATAACCCTGACTGGCTCCTTTCTCTTCCCATGCCCTTTGCTTCCAGAAAGTGTTGAGCAACTGAGCTAGTGAAAGTCTTTCAGATAGATCAACTCAGTGATGTTTGGTGTTATTTCGCGGGACCTTCCCAGGAGGTCAGCAATAATTCAGGACATCTGAGAAGAGAGATGGTATAGTGGTCATTTCTGTGTCCCCAGTGCTCATGGGGACCTGTTAGAGTAACTTTCAATGAATGTTGAATGAATAAGTGAGTGAAGGAGTGAAGAGATGTGGCACTGTGGCTGCAGAGGTAGATTTTGACTTCTTTAGCACTTCAACTGAATAACTGAGAACCAAAGAGATCACTGGACAAGAAACCAAGGGCATATAGCATGAAAGGAAAAAAAAAATCCCACCAGGGAAGAATTTTTCAAAGGGCAGAAAGTGAATCTATGGCATAATTAGAAAATAGCACATAATTAATTTCGTGCAGCTCTAAGAGTTTGCTGGAGCCCAAGTGTCCTCAACTTGCCCACCTGGATTCTGATGAGGAAGTGGGTGATACTTCGCCCTATTATCTTGGACTCTCCAAGCATCAAGGCTGTTGCAACTGGGTAGGAAGAGATGCCCCCATTTTTACAGGTGGGAGAAAATAAAGCTGTGAATTGTAGAATTTGTTGGAGCTACTGCACAAAATATAGTGATATGAATAATAGTTCCCACTGTTAGGTGCTGATCATTTCACTGCATTATCTCATTACATCTTCCAACAGGGATGGTTCACAAAGCTGTTGCAAGGATTAAAGAGACAATGACTAGAAATTGTTTGCCCAGCACCTGGTGCTTGGTAATCCCCTAATGAACATCACAGTAATTCTCTGAGAGTAGTACTCTCATCTCCCCACAT